TGGAAACCCCCATTGGAAAAGTATTTGGGGTGGGTGAAGGGAATGCCTTGATTCCAGGATGTGTGGCTCTATTTGCTGGCCTATCAGAGCTGCTTTGCACAACCTACAGTTTTTAACAGGTACGAAAGATATAACACATAACCTCTTGCATTCTGTAATGAAGAAGAATAGAATTGAATCGTGGTGAAGAATGAATTGCCCCCTCCATGTGCCCCAGACCCTCTATGATGTGGCCACACCAACTAACATAATCTCCCCTCATGTCATTTCAGCATGTCTCCATGCAGAGAGACACGGCATTCCCCCATGGATGCTGTGCATCCACCCTTACTTTACCCAACAGCCTTGGTAACTCCTCCAAAGCAATTTAGCTGGAATCAGGAAGAATGGCTGTTCTTTTCAATGCTAGCCAAGTTGCCCACAAAAGACATTCCTGTTGTTATCCCCAATCATAGCTTATAGAGAGCATTCCTCCAGGAGGCTCCATGGGCCAGACTGAGAAGTTCAGTGGGCCAAGTTTAGTGGGGGGCTCTACACATCTGCTATAATATGCAAGGCAGATACAGTGGTGCCTCGGCTCATGAACGCCTTGGTTCACGACCAAATTGGGTCACAAACAAAAATTCCATGAAAATTTTGGCTTGGGTCACGACCAAGATCGCAGCCATCTCCCCACCCACCCCAAGTGGGGAGATGGCCACGATTGCAGCTGTGTTCATGCAGGGAAGACTTGCGTGATCACGGGCACGTTTCTGCAGGAAAGACAGGCGCAATCTTGGCCATCTCCACCCTGCCCCCTCAACTAGCACGATTGCGGCCATCTCCCCCACTCCCCCAGAGTGGGGAGGTGGCCATGATCGCAGTCGCGTTTGTGAAGGGAAGACATGTATGATCGTGACTGTGCTGTGCCCATCTTTCCTGCAGGATTTTTCACCAAAATTGACCCTGCAGCTAAGAGACAAAGAAGAGAGGAAACCCCTGAAAGAGATTTCCCCAATGTCCTTATGGAGGAAGACTGTCCCTCAAAACATTAACCTCCCCCCACCACCTAGGTTAGTGTTCTCCACTGTACTGTACAGTACTTTGTTACTTTGCTGTTCTTTGTCACTTTGTTTCAAATTTTTCTGATTAAAAAATTAGTTACAGAACGGATTAACCTTATTTACATTGAACCTTATGGGGAAATTTGACTTGGGTCACAACCAATTTGGGTCACAACCAGAGTCGTGGAACAGATTAAGTTTGTGAACCAAGGTACCACTTTACTCATGCTCTTCGCACTGCACATATACCATGAAACTACATGGTGGAGACCTATCACAGAATGAGCAATTCATCTCTTAAATACACAGAGGAGTGACCAGGCCTTCAGCATCAATGGTAGATGGTGGCTCTCATGGTGTCCTCACCACCACTTAGTGGCGGCAGCCATCTTTTCCCCCAAGCTTGGGAACTTTTTTGGCCATGAGGTCGGGCACTTGGAATTAAAAGCATCCAGGATCCTGGCCCTCAGTTAATTGGCCCTATGTTTGCAGGACTGTTTTGTGATGACCTGGCAACACAGGCATAATTCAACAATGTGCCCCTCTCCCAATTAGACAGGCAGCGGGAGTGTCTGTCTGTGGAGTGGGGGAATCTTTTCACACAATGGACACACTTTCTAAAGGGTGCTTTCAATGCCATCATGATAGATGGGGAAGGCAGAGAACAGAGAGTGGAAAAAGAACTGGAAGGATGCAAAAGATCAGAGAGAAAGCAGATAGGAAAGGTTGGTTTTTTGTCTTTTGTTTTCTGTTTTCTTTTTTTCTTTTTTTTGGTGGGAGGATTTTATAAGAGTGAAAATGAAGTTCATGGAGAGATGGTGGCTGAGTAGGGAGCCAAAGAGTAGAAAGTGGTACAGGGAAAAGGTAATAAATGCTGAAAAAATACTCAGGTTGAGGAGAGAAGCTCTTCCCAATCTAGGCATGGGAAGAAAGGAATGAGCGGGAGTCCCAGGAAACAGGAAGGGGAGGGGCTCCCACCTAAACAAAGGCTTAGCTGCAGAATCTTTCTGACAACAGGCTTTAGGCAGGAACAGAACCCACATGTGTGCTGCATTATGAAGAAGAACCCATATATATTGTTCATATGTTGGTGAGCACTGCTTTACAAACTAAATCCAGAATGCCGCTGTGACCTACTCCTTGCGGTAACTGTAAGGATAAAATGGCCAAGAATAGAGATGGAAAGATGCACGCCATCTTGAGATCCTTGAAAAAATAGGTAGGATTAAAAAAATGTGTTAAACAAACCATGCCATCTTATGTGCTTTATTTCTATAAAATAAGGATACGGAGCACACTAATACTTAAAAAGAACGTAAGAACATGCTCAGGAAACTTTGGTGAGATACTTTGTCAAAAGCCTTTCGGAAGTCCAAGTCTATGAGCTTATCCCTCTTTATGTGTTTATTGACACTCTCAAAGAACTCTAAAATATTTACGAGACAGCATTTACCCTTGCAGAAAACATTAACTTTTTCAGCAGGGTCCATCCGTGTATATGTTTACCAATTCTACCATCAACAATTAACAATGCTTTTAACCAATTTACCTGGAAGATAGATTATTCTAACTAGCCTTTAATTTCCTGGATTTCCTTGGACCGCCCCCCCCCCCCCTTTCATACTTAATCTCCTTAAGAATTCTAGGGTGAATTCCATCTGAACTCATTGATTTATCGACTTTCAGTTTGTCAGTACAGTTGAGAATTTCATCTTTTGTCACCACTATCTGCCTTAGTTGCTCATACCCCCTTCCTAAAAATATCAGTTCAAGAACAGGTCTCTGTTCTGTATCTTCTTCTGTTAAATAAAAAGGATTAATTCAGCTTCTCTGTTATCAGCTTATCCTGCCTTACTATTTCTTTAATACCATTATCTTCCAATGGTCCCACTTCTTCTCTAGCTGGCTTTCTGGTTCTTATATAAAGAATTCTTTATTGTTGGTCTTGATTGTACTTGTGATATGCTCCTCAAAATGCTTTTTACTCCTCTTATTGTCTGCTTGCATCTCCCCTGTTCAAGTTACTGCTCTCTTCTGTTACTCATTTGGGCAATAATTTCTTATTCTGAATGAAGGCTTCTTTTCTCTAATAACTTCCTTGACACCGCTCATTAGCCATGCTGGTGAGCTCCTGGACTTTGGGCTATATTTCCTAATCTGTGATATACACTCTATCTATAAACTACTATTATTGTGGTTTTGAGTATTCTCCAAGCATTTTGAAAAAAATGCAAGCTTCTTAACACCCCCTTTCAACTTCCTTATCTTTTACGAGAGCCCTTATTTTAGATCAGTTCTCTCTTTTGAAGTCAAATGTAATGGTGTTGGACCTCTTTGGCAATCTTCCACTTAAATTTATAGTAAATCTGATAGCCCTTTGATCACTGTTTCCAATAAGCATTCGCTTATTGTACTAGGTTGTGCAGAACCCACACCTACAAGGATGAAATCCAGGATTGCTTCCCCACTAGCGAGTTCCACAACCAACTACTCTAGGGCACAGTTGTTTAGGACACTGAGAAACACTTTGTCAGAACTGAAACATACATTCAGTCAATGTGGGGGTGGTTGAAGTTAACTATTATCAATACTTCACTCTTTGATGCAATATAAATACAAAAACAGCTTACATAATATAATCCAAATAATATAAACAACAAAACCAGTGAAATATAGTTAAGAGGCACTGCACGCAGAGAAGCCAGCACTGGACAAAAATAAAACAACCTAAAAGGCCTGCAATTTATTTATTTATTTTGAAAACCAAAATGTCAAATCCACTGCTAGCCGAACCTCTCTAGGGAAGGAATTCCACTACTGGGCTCCCAGCACATGAAAGCCCTGTCTTGAGGCCTCACCAAGAACTATCACTTCTTACAGCAATAGGGCCAAATGAAGGATTTCAAGAAGACTTCATTACATCAGCAGGTTCCAGTAGGAAAAGGCTGCCTTTCTGTTATCCAGATCCCAAGCTGGACCAGAAGTTAGAATAGGGACCTGTGCGGCATCTGTTTGGGGTGGGAATCCATTGGATTGCCTGGGCTCAGCTCTTCAGACTCCAGTCGGTTTTGTTGTGGCCCTGAGACTGAATTCCAGGCCAGCGTGCCCAAGGCCTGCAGGATGCTCGCTTGGAATCAGGCCACAGGTGCTACCCAGGCAGCATCGCCCTTCCACCCCACGTGCAGCGGCGCTGCTGCCCCTGCCAAGGGAGAGGGCTGTTCATGCCGAGCTCTCCAGGAGCGGAGCCTTGCACGACTGCGGTGTGGGCGGCATCCCTGCTCTGCATCCCGTGCAACAGCCTCCGTGCTGCTGCATCGGACATGCAGGAAGGTTGGCAAGTCAAGCGTCCGCGGACTTCCTCTTGGCTTGGTTCACTCTCTAAGGCTGGGCTGAGCACACAGGGGAGTCAGAGACTGCTAGAGGGGCAAATCCCTCTCGGTTTTGTACCAAGAGTAAGTTAAAACAATAATTTTGAGACTGGTGAGATAAGTTCCACTGCTATTCTATTTACTATATTTTGTACCACTTGTGCTTTTCAAAGAAAGCACACCAGACACACGCATGGCATAGCGGATAAGAGACGAGGGTAAGACAGTACCCTTGTAGGATCAGGTTTAATATTTCATAATCAACTGATATAGATTGATCCATCTATCTATCTAAAACCCTTTAGAGGAGTATTTTATTCTGTTACAAGCACCATGTGTACTTTTATGCATTGGATAATCTAGCAAGTAGCATATATTTCTTGCATTTATGGCCCATCCTTCTTAGGAAACATTAATGTACATTATCCCATTATATGCCCATGGTAACCTTTGTGAATGTGACTGGTTCAAGATCACATGAAAGTATCATGACAGAACAGTGATTTGAACCTATGGTTGAACACTCATAAGCACCCCACCACCTAAACCATCACCCATCAAAATATAGCCAACTATACAGCATACTTACTTGTATTCTAGACTCGTGTCAAAGCAGCATTTCTCTAATGCATCCAGAGACTTTGAAAGTAAAAGATTCAGTTGTTTGCCAGAAACTTCACTAAAATAAACATTAAAATATAGAAAAATAAATAAAATATCCCAGGAAATAATTTTCAACTGCTAGTGCTGTGTTAATACACATTTTTGAACTTCTTCAAATTGCTCTATAAGTGGCATACCCCAAACAACAGGCTTATCTCCTGCAACACAATTTACATGCAGAAGCCCAGCATGTAGGCCCAGCTGCAGGACTTCTATCAGGGGTGGAGAACTTCCTCCAGCTCATGGGCCATATTCAATTTCAGAGAAGCAATTATGGGACACATTCCAGTGGTGGGTGGGACTAAAAATACAAAAAATGCAAGCATATTTTAGCTTGTGCATTTTAGAATGGAGGGAAGGAAATGCACAAAAGCTGAGAAAGAATGAAACCATCAAAGATTCTGGAATTTGCTCCCCAGAGAGGTTCACCTGGTGCCGTCACTTAATTCTTTTCGGCACCAGGCCAAAATCTTTTTATTTTCCCAATGTGTTAAGACCTGACTGTTTTAATTGGGGTTTTATTGTTAGCTGAATTTTTAGGACACTTGTGAGTGTGTGTGTTTTACATTTTGTATTGTTAAAGAGCATCCTGATGCAGGTGAAGGAGGAGAGCGCAAAAGTTGGGTTGAAACTCAACATTAAGAAAACTAAGATCATGGCATCCGGTCGTCTTACTTCCTGGCAAATAGATGGGGAAGAAATGGAGGTAGTGACAGATTTTATTTTCCTGGGCTCCAAGATCACCACAGATGGGGACTGCAGCCCAGAAATTAAAAGACGCTTGTTCCTGGGGAAGAAAGCTATGGCAAAGCTAGACAGCATACTAAAAAGCAGAGACATCACCCTACCAACAAAAGTGTGTATAGTCACGACTATGGTATTCCCAGTTGCAATGTATGGCTGTGAAAGTTGGACCATAAGGAAAACTGAGCGTTGAAGAATTGAGGCCTTTGAATTGTGGTGCTGGAGAAGATTCCTGCGAGTCCCTTGGACCGCAAGGCGATCAAACTGGTCAGTCCTACAGGAGATCAACCCTGACTGCTCTTTAGAAGGCCAGATCCTGAAGATGAAACTCAAATACTTTGGCCACCTAATGAGAAGGAAAGACTCACTGGAGAAGAGCCTAATGCTGGGGACAGTTAACGGCAGAAGAAGGGGATGGCAGAGGATGAGGTGGCTAGATGGAGTCACTGAAGCAGTTGGTGAGAGCTTAAGTGGACTCCGGGGGATGGTGGAGGACAGGAAGGCCTGGAGGAATGTTGTCCATGGGGTCCTGATGGGTTGGACACGACTTCGCGTCTAACAACAACCTTGTTAAACCATCTGGAGACTTCGGTAATGGGACAGCCTAGAAAATAAATAAATAAATAAATAAATGGGGGTATGGCCATTTGGAGAACCCAAGAGAACTGATTGGTGACCCCAGGAGGCCCGAGGCATGAGATTTCCCAATCCTGATTTGCCTATTAATTGGTCTATTACCATCAACAGCACTGCTGGTAAACAAACTTTAGAGGAGTTCAGCTATAATGAAATAGTTGACTTCTCCTGAATTTGGGACTTTTGACCAAAAAGATGATCCTCAAAAGATTTAGAGGTTCCCTTTTTATCGAGAGGACCCAATTCTCCATGTGCTGTGGTCATCTTGGTAGTGCAGAGTCACAGCTGAGACCCCAGTGAAACAAAACTCTGAGGCAAGGACTGGGAATGCAGACAAAGCACTGATGGTAGACTGGCAAAGGGAAGGAAAATTAAGATGAAAACCAAGATGCCTGAAGCTTGTCAGTTCAGTGACTTGTGATATGAAGCCCGAAATGTATCAATCAGAAGCATATTTGGATCTGTAATTGTCAAGGTTACATGTTACATTCTGGGAACAACTCTTTTTGTGAGGGAAAGAAATTTGCTCTCTTGAAAAATTAGAATGGATAAATTTGGATCGTTCTTAGGTAAATCATTACTAAGCAGCAGCAACAAGAAAAACAACAACAAAAAAACTATCTTTCTATAACTACAACTGATACTTTGAAAAAGATTGATAACTTTCTTACACAGTATTTGTATAATCTGAGCCACCAGAACACAACGGCCCTTTAATATTGAATGGGGTGGTAGAGCAAGAGGTACAGGTTCACTTCATATCCCAGTGGAAGCTTGCAACATTGAATGTTGAGCATTGGAAAAATATGAAATAAAATGCCATCCCTGGATGCAGAAAACTAGCACTGAGAGAAAAAGATCGAACAGGTCCTCTTTCTGTGCTAATTTATTAAATGCAGGGAGGTTTTTACATGAGCAACCCTTCAAAAAACCCATGCTGTGGCGGCGGCAGCTGCTGCTCCTCACCCTCTTCCTCACACCCCTATTGTTCCATGTGGAAAAATCAAGTGACAATGGCATGGGCTGTTAAGTGTGCAAATACAGAGCAAGCTGGGGATGGTCTGCCTGAGGGAAACAGAGAAACCTTCGAGCCTGACATTTGGTAAAACTGACTGGAAGGAGAAGAGCAGTTGGGAGGTTTCTGAGAGAAAATTTTCTGGATGATAGCGACCTTCTGGAGTAGAATAACTTTGTAGTTTATTACTACAAGTTTATCTTCTCTTCAGAGATAATTCTGAACAGTTCCTTTTCTTTAAGGGTTCGTCTGAGTGTTTCCATAAGTACACCATGAGTATCATGCATGAATTGTTGTTTATTTGCCTATCATCTGTAACTAGTTTTGTTTTGTTTTATCATATCTACTGATTATAACATTATTCCAGCATTGAAGGTTTTATATGTCAGGAGATGTAAATGAATCCATCCATTGCTGCTGTGAAATGATGGGCATGATATCAAAAGGAGTTATGCCAAGGCAGGAGCAAGCACTCATCTGGGTTTCAGGGCCATGTTTGGCAAATTGAAAGTGTGTCCTGAGCAACATACAAAATTCAAATGTTCAACCACCTGCCATCTTCAGGTCCTGAGAATGACTCCAGGGTTCATGCAAAGCCAAGAGGCATTCATGGGCAATGTAGATGGGAGGTGCTTGCTTTACTGTGAAAGAATCCCAGCTGCCAGTAAGAAATTCTGTCTGTCTGTTTATGTCTGTATATACATAAACATAAACATAAACATATATATATATATATATATAAAAGCAGGAGGGATTGGGCAGCTCCATGGGCTCCATAAAAGTTGCCCAAGAAGGCTGCACTTTGGAGGAATTTAACCCTGTAAATATAACAGAAGAATGGGCCCCATATACCACCTTAATCTGTAAAAAAATATTAACAGATGAACCAAAAACGTTGCAGTGAACACAATGCAGAAGGGAAGGATATGGGAGACCAAGGAAGCAATATGTAAGAGATAATGAAATCGTCTTGCAGAGCACCTCGGGAATCCTTAAGTGCAGAAAGCTAAGCATGCTGCTCTGCATAATTTAAATGCCTCGCTCAGGAGGAGGGAAAGTTATTTACACACCTGCTGTACAAGGTAATTCATACCTGACTTTCTCTTCACATAACCGTGAAATAAACATCCCCAAAGCGAGGCCCATGTGAATTTGAACAGCCTGAGACTCATCTGCATTTGGTTTCCCAGGTAACATGGCAATCAGTACATTCAGGACTTCCTCAACCTTTTCCTTGTAGGATACAATAAAAACCGGCACCAAGAGAGACAAAGCAGTCGCTGCACAGGAACGAGCAATAGCACTCGCGGTATTTTCACCAGAATAGGATTTCTAGGAAACAAAATAGAATCTCAGAAGGTTTGGGGTTTCAACTTTTTACTGATTTGAAAAAAATGCACTATGTCCTACAGATTCTGGGAAACCTTTAAAAAAGGAAAACAACAATTGCACTTGGACAAAATAACTGTCAACAGCCTTGCTTATGACTGTTTTTTTAAACCCTGAAATAAGCAATTAACACACTTTCTAGAGAGAAAACAGAAATATATCTGCACTTTAAAAAAAAACAGATGGGATTGAATGATCCTGTCCCTGTATATATGTAAATAAAAATGTCACTGTGAATGTTAATTAATTCCGTAATTATAGTTTTACAGTAATTTGCTGAGAAGACGATGGGGGAAGGGGGGAATGCCATACCAATGCAAGGGCTATGTCATATTCGCAATTCTTGCAGAAATATCCAATTGCTGAATGCAAGGAGATTAAAGCATTTTAAAAACATTAATATTAATATCAGCAGACTTATTTTAAAAATGGCAAATCACCCACTTACCCTTGGGCACTCAAGGCAGATCACAGATTAAACACAAGCGCTTACATTTTTTCTGCTAAATGGTATAAGCAAAGCAATGAAGGCATATAACCCGTACTAAGGCTATGGTCCTATACCCAGTTACTTCAAAGTAATCCCCATTGAAATCAATAGGATTTACTTCTGAGAAGCCATGCATAAGATTGCACTGAAATAAAACAAACACGGTCGTCAGAGCAAGCAGGATGATGGTTGGATTACACAGAGCTTTTCATAGCAATGCACTGCTATCAACAGAAAAAAGGAGGGGGAAATGAAACAGACGGCATAGGAGCAAGTGACACCGGTAGCAAAGCTGTAACATTTCTCACACTGAAGACACAACTGTTTGCAATGGATTTATAAAAACCTAGTGCAATGCAGAGTGAAGTAGCCTGGCAGAGTATCTTCAGACACTAGTGAGGAATGCTTTGGAAACTTCCCGCGGTATGGAAGCCTTAAACAATTAACATCCAGATGTATTTCTTTGGCAGCAACTTTAAACTTCTCTGCTTTGACTTGGTCATAGAAGAATGCTGACGCCATTCAGCACCAGCCTAACAAAAAGGCACCTTAGTGTGGGCCCTCGGCTTCAGCAGGGCCAACATGTGGGGGGCACACATTTCTAACCCCTGCACTTCAGTCTTCCCAATATCCACAGGTGGCAGCCTGGCAGCCCACAGCTGTTGGTCGCCTGCAAGACCACTCATAGCCTTGTACTTAGCACGTTACAGGATCGCCTGTGACAAGGAGGCCGAGCGAATCTGTCAGTGGTCTGGCAGAAGGGGAAACCACGAGCATATGGTGGCCTCAGTTGCCTTTCTAGAGCCCCACATGAGGCCTCTGTGAAACTTGACAGCGGGTTGTGTCACGATCTCAGATTTAATCTAGGGAAACAGAGCATGCTATGCTTGGTTAAAGAGGCAAGTAGGAAGCTGCCTTGGCCCAAGTCTGGCCCTTGGCCCATCTAGCCCAGTAAGGTCCATACGGATGGACAGCAGCTCTCTGAAGTTCCATGCAGGAAGCCCTAGAGGAACTTCCTGCCTGTCCACAGGTTCCTGCCTGAAGACCCCATCACACTTTCTATATCTGAAGAGGCGCTACCTTGAAGTTCATATTTATTTGGCTAATCAATCCTTTTGGTGAAGTCTAAGCATAATTGTGAGAAGGCTGTATGTACTTCGTACGAATCCATTGCTATGTATATACACAAATCCATGTGTGCACATGAACAAAAAGGGGGGGAAATGAAAGGTAAAGTTTTGCGCGGTGCTAGTAGGCAACACATAGGGGACCACTTCATGGGTGTCACTGGTGCCACACTGAGGACTCCTGAGCTAAGCTTCCAGAGAACAAGCTAGAACAGGAGGCCCTGTTCCAGCATGCTGTGCCTAGAACTGAAGGCTTTTAAGCCTGAGACTTCAGAGGCCCAGGAAGAGCACATAAATGGAGCTTCAGTGTCACCTGAGGAATGATCTGCTTATGAGCAAAGCCTTGCTCATGAGCACTCGCTTTCTTGCAAGGCACCCTTATTTCTCAGGTTTGCACTGCATCTTCTGATGAATATGTGGTTGCTTAGTGTCCTTCTCTGATTCAGGGAGGGTCTACCTGCATCTTGAGAGGAAAAGCTAACTGCAGATCCCTCAGATCTGTCTCATGGTCCCTCAACATAGCCAAACACCCCTCCAATGTTTGGTTCAAGGGACTCCAGGTCATCGTCTAGACAGCATTCCTTTACAGGGGATGTGGCAGAGGGTATGAATGGCTTGAGCTCCCTCTTCCATTGCTGCCTCAATTACCAGGCAGCACCTTGCTCAGAATTCTAGGCAGGGACCCATGTGGCAGTGGAGGAACCTGTAGCAAAGCAGCAGAGAGCAGGAGATGGAGGATGCCAGGTGAGCGGAGTGGGCAGCTACTCTCTGGAGCACAGATTGCATGACTACTTCATCACCCACGGCCAGTCAAAAAGAGATATTTAGCCAGTACATGCACATGCTCTTCCCTCCTCCCTCAATCCAGAAATAAGCCCCAGCATAAGTAGCAGTGCTGTGCCATTCCCTGTTGAAGCGACAGGAATAGTCCCTTCCCACATCTAAGATGAAATGATTCTGTATTGCAATGTTTTGTCTCTGGCCCATCACTCCCTGAGGTTCTAGCTAATGACAAAATATTAAAATAACACCCCTGTCCCTTATATTGGGCTTGGAAGTCCAACAAAGTGGCAAAAGATGCATTGCAAAGTTGTCTCAGGCTGAAGCTATATAGACAAGGATAGCTCAGCCCCACAGTGATTCAGATTGTTGATTCCATATTATGATACTGTGAATTTGCTAACCCCAGCTCCAGAGCTACTCACAGTGCAAGACTGCACGAGCTGCACAGTTGACACATAGGTAGTGGTATCCCCTCAATAAAGCGGTCTGTTGTATCACTTTGTACCCGTATGGAGCAAAGGAGAACTCCACAGCTGCACATTTGACCACAGTTTCCCCGCATCATCATTATTATTCTGAAAGTCTCAAGATAGTGAAACCCAAATCTATTCTCGCCCACCCCCGCCCACTTATAACAAAGCAAAAGGATTATTATTTCAACTTTTTCTTGTGAAATCTGCATGGACATACCTGATAAAACCATGGGAAGACACGACCCTTGGGGCGATAGTGACTGTCTACAATGCTAAGGAGCGTATCTATCACCATGGAGATCCAGTGCTTTGTCAGAAGAAAGTCTGGCTCAGTCTGAAGGCAAAAAACAAAAGGACCATAAGCAGCCAGTAGTCCATGCTCAACTAGATATTCGCCAGCTTCTGCATTTAGCTTCAGGAAAATGTTTAAAAGAAAGGACAGAAATTTGGAACGTAAGTAGAATGTAATTTGCTACACTTGATAAATTTTCTATTATTTAAAGAAAATAATTGCCTAATTTTAAAGCTACTTATGTTTTATACCAAGCATTATTATTAAAGTTGTAAAAAAGAAAAGCATGATTGGACAACCTGTATATGCATAAAAAGTGAAAGGGTATTTTGAAGCAGCAAAAATGTTTACATTTAAGAGTTGCATTCAAGAGGTCTTACAGCATAACATGAACCATGTTAGTCAGAAAAAGTCCCACTGATATCAAGGAGATATATTTCTGAGAAAGCATGCTTTGGACAGCAGCATTAGCTGGACAAAATGCATGAGCTTTGCTAATTATCTGACCAACTTTTGTTCCCATTAATATTGACTGTCCTTCATTCAGCAAGATTTCAGACAAATTAATTTAAAACCAAAATATCCAATTGCATTTGGGATGAAAAATACCGCAGAAGATAATTCATGTCCTGCTGCTAACACTGTGAATTTAGTAAACAGCAAGTGTGTTTCTGGAACAGCATGACAAAGTGATCAAGTAGTTTTAACTCACGTCAACTTGTTCTTCAGTGTCTGAAGAGAGCCCTTTCTCATGTTTTGCTACAGCAACCACAAGGCCTGTTAAAGCTAGAAGGCAATTCCCTTTTACCACTGGGCTTTCCCTGTTGAAAATAACACACCATTGTGAATGAACGAGAGAGAGAGAGAGAGAGAGGTGAGAGATATGTTTGTGGAGGGGAGGGGAGTAATGGGATGAAAATGATCACGCTGGTCATAACTCGGTCAGATAATCTCAATGGGGCTGGCTTCACTTCCACAAGCTGGTGCCCTGCAACCGTGTGGGGATGACACATGCAGCATCCCCAGCTAGCATTACCATGTGGGCTGGTGAAGATAAAAGATACGGTTTAATGCATCTGGAGAACAACTGGCCAGTGTTTCATTTAAGGGAATCTCTGGCCAAAATTAGGCATGCAGCTATTTACATAGTTTTGGCCTTGCATAGACTTGATGGCTCTAAAAACCACTGAGACAATGCAAGAGAGCAAGGAAGTAGTGGGAAAGCCACTTCATGACAACAGTCTAGAGAGGAGGGTGGGGGGACTTTGCAGCCTGGCACCCGCTACTCATTGTTGCTGTCACTCTCACTGCAAATAGCAGGTATGTAGAGGCTGGCTCTGATATGGCAGGCTAAAGAGTTGAAAGGCCTTCTTCCTCTATACAACAATCCCAGCACCATTCTCCCACCTATGGTGGCTACTGGAAAAACAAAACAAAACCCCCTGCAAGTTCAAACAAAATTAATGGTATCATTTCTAGTTTGGCCCCTACATACATTCAAATACAGCACTGCCTTACAGAGATTAAACTTTGCCATGCTTGGCTGCTATACCAGATGGAAAGACTACCTCTGCTCTTCTTTTCAATGAAAAGGAAATCGATTGCCCATGAAATATGCATATACATTGTGAAGGGAAGGGCCAAAGCAGTATGCATCAGGCTGTTCCTATTTTGGCAAAGGAAGACTCTGAGGATGCCATGAAGTCATGCATTGCTTGTAGCACAAGGTTAAGCCACCACTTCCTCCAATTCTACCATCTCAAACACAAAAGGGACAAGAGCATTTTGTTCCTGAGGCAATCCCGGTTATCAGGGACTGGACAGACAGTCACTGACTGTGTTCAGACAATGCAGTAACTCACATTCTGAGTGTGAACTGTCATTAAACCATGGACAGTTTGTTTTCATACTTTCAAAGCCAGCCAAGATAACTAGGGTGAACAATTCACAGATCACAACCTAACAACAAACCACAGGTTCTCTTTATGGGTTGTTCATGGTTAAGAAACCATGGCTTGTTAATGCAGCTGGGTTCTGACAAGATAACTCACATTTTAACAACCTATGATTCAACAAAAACCCTCACTCAACCCATACTCAACCCTCAGAACCCACAGACTTCCTCTGGTGCTCAGCCCGGTCCTGCAAAGTTGAGCAAGGAATCTGCAAATGCTCATGGGCCCCAGTTATGCTTCCAGCAACCTTTCCCTGTCCCCATTCCTGATGGCCAAACTTCTCCAATCGCTGCTGCTAGCGGAAGAGGTGGGCATGGAAGAACAGCACAGGCTGCACAGTATGTGGGACTCCCTTCTGGGAGAGTGCCCTGCAAACCCCAGACCCACTGTCCAGGATTCTGGGCCACTGCAAGGTGGACAATCGTTTGGGAAGTCAAAATGGGAGAATCTGCCCAAGACAGTTTTCTTGCACAACCCTACTCAGAACATGTATTATTATATTGGCTCAACCCAGTCAGTATGATGCCTTGCTTTCAGTCAATCCTATTTACTTTGTATTTTGTTGTTGTAACCTGCCCAGGGAGCTGTATGGCTAATGGAGTGGGTTAGAAATTTCCTCCTCCTCCTCCTCCTAGCCCACACAATAATGAATCAAAGGAAAGCAAGAATAAGAGCAACCTTCTCTGTTCTCATTTTGAGTGGCCAGATACTTGTATGTGTTCCATTTTATAGGCTTTTCAAAAGATTGCAGAATCCAGCCCAAGGGCCAACCCAAATATAACAGTATTCACACAATTTGCAATCCTGTGAGTGTAAGTAGCAGGCACAGAGGAGCAGAGCTGAATGGATGGATAGTGGGGGCAGGTGAGGGATAATCCGTCTCCCTTCCCACATTAGTCTTGGCACTTTTTGATTAACAGGCATGCTGTCAGCATTATCCACCCTGAATTTAGCTGCACTCTTCACAGCAGCTGGGGAAAAATGGATTCTCCTAGGAAAAATATATTGTTCCCTGTTGTAATGCAAAGTATTTGGAGATGGTTTGACAAATTAAAATGCAATGGCATTACAAAAGTCATGTTTCTGGTGGAGGTGAAAAATACTAAACTGGCTTGTTCATATGCTTGAGTTCCCCTTGGGGATATGGGTATACAGATTGCCATGACACATACCACTGATGGGGATCCTGCACATGAATGGAAGAAAACATTTATTGGTACAAACTCTTGTTTTCCTTCAAGTGCAAATACCAAGTGTGAACTGGGATTAGGTAAAATTGGGGGGGGGGGGAAGAATCCTCCTTATGCAGGACCAGACCCAGGTCAGAATCCCTGTGCCTACTATTTCCATTTTTTTCCCCTAATACACAAACATGCTACTTATGCAAATTGTTCCAGCTTCAGTTTGGCCCTAAGAAGCTACTAGAATATAAGTAATGATACTTCCACATTAAAAATTACAGGAAAATGGGAAAAGACAATTTATTGAAACCTATTTTAAAGGTGAAGCTGTGACTTACAAGGGAAAATTGTATGAATTATTACGTTTTTGTGGGAACTAAGCTGTATGAGAACCATCATTTTTGCAGTCATATGTCATACTTAAGTGGGATGGGACTTTCTTCAATATTTTTGATGTAAAAAAATATTTCCAAAGGCAACATTTCAGTGGGAGTAGAAAGAGACACTAGGAAATTCCCCCCCCCCCCCCATTCTTTTATCTGGTTTAGCCCTAGGAGCAGCAGAAAAGAACGTCAGGGTTCACAGGACCTGAACATGGAAGAGTGTTGCAGTCTCTTCAATTAATATTTATTTTTAGGAGGCTCCCTGTATGAAATGACAGGAAACCAACCAAAGCAGACTGGACCACTACTCACTCCCCAGTGAAGAAGAAAACACATCCAACACAGAGAAGTTAAAATGAGTTGTTCTTATTTAGAAACAAGTATCTTACTTAGAAGCACCCTTGATAACATCAGTCAACATATCTCTGACCCTGGTAAAAGAGAAAGAAAAGAAGGATTAGCTTGAATGGCAGTTTGTACTATGGCACTGCTATGGTTGTGTTTATGAAAAAAGAAATGCATAGGATTCACTGGGTATGTAGACGCCTTTAAATAGCCCTTAGCTTTTGAATGGAGTGACTAGTGAGCAAGATCCAATGTGTTAGGAGGCAGAATTCCATCGATCTATCATGATCCCATCCCTCTACTCCCTCTCTGGGAGTCCCCAAGGCCTTACTGTGTTTACCTAGTGGCAAAGCATCAAGATACAATTCTGATTCTGTTGGTGCCCCTTGTCTAAGCTAGAATAAATAGTCTTGGGGATGTGGTTGGTTACCCCAGCACTGATTACATTGGGGAATTTCAACATTTACACTGAGGTCCCTATACCTGGAGCAGCTCAGGATTTCATGGCTACTGTGGCAACCATGGACTATCTCCCTACACATTTAGCAGGGTACACTCTTGACTAGGTATTTGCTAGCCAGCATGAAATTAATCTGTGGACAGGGGAGTTGGAAAGTACCCCATTGTCATGGGGAAATTACTACGGTGGGGAAAAAAGCAATAGAATTCCCACTGGCTTGAGGTTACTTGGGGTTGAAGCACTAGCTGTTATTTTAAGCTAAAATACATGTTCAGAATATTTATTGTAACAGGTATACTCCACTTCAGGAGATATCAGAGCAAAGTACAATACACTGAAACTCAAAATACAAAAAGTTACAGGAAAAACCATATGGATCAATAAAGCAGGAGCTGGAATTTATTCATCAGTTAGGAAATACTTGGAGGAAAAGTAGCATCTTCAGCAAACATAGAAAATAAATAATAGAGGTTCACGCCTGATCTTGATTTGAAGGGTATTCCTTGGCAGGGAGCTGCCATATTTTCAACCCATTTATTTGGAGTGACTCTTTGGAAGACTTCAGTGATTGGATGGATGATAATGAAGGCACATTCAGGCATGTTGGACTACATGTATATTTATTTGCAGCTTTATAAGTTGCAACAGATGATCCTAATTTTTTTCAGGGAACATTTTAAGTTCCTGAAAGCAGTGTTTCCCAGCCTTGTGTTCTCCAAATGATTTGGACTTCAGCTTCCATCGGCCCTGGCCAGGACTGCTAATGGCCAGTCCTAGTTTAAAAGACTGGATGGGCACCAGGATACATGTTTACCGAAGTTCCAGTTTCTAAACAGCAAGGAAGCAGTCCAGCATTCTTCAAACTGGTAGCCAAGAAGCACGCTGGACTACACATTCTCTCAGCCCCAGACAACATGGCTGATGAATAAGGATGAAATACCCTACAATTTTTATTGGGTTTAAGTGTCAACAAAACAAAGCAACTTTGTAACATAGTTGTATCTCACACACACACACACACACACACACACACACACACACACACAGAGGCGAAAGAGAGAGAGAGACAGAGACAGAGAGACAGAGAATATACAAGCCAGGTAAGTTGACGGGACATTTCAATAACTAATTTCTTACAAGAAAGTTATGCCTGGACATCAGCATCCCTTTTCTAGCTTTCCGGAAGTGGTTTCTGTGCCAAAACAAAGCAGCTGGTTTTCCACTTTGCTGCCAATCCAATCACCAGATTTTCCAATCACCATATAAAGAAGAGCTACTGGTAAATAAAGCTGTTCTTACTGACAATACCTTCCCTTAGTTGTTCCCCTTTAAGCTAAAGGATTCTATCTGGCTTTTGTCATTAGCACTTATTCTGTCAGTAAAACTTGCAACTTGCAGTCCTTTGAAGTGTCCTCTGTGTTCTTTTCCCCACTTCCCTACCACCTTTTCAAGTGACGAGGAGCAGATCGTCAACCCCTTACCAGAGCCAGGCTGTAAATTGTTTGTATTGCACTTCTTCGGGTCCCTCTTTTCCATGCTTTAACTGCATCTCCAACTCAGCTTGCCTTCCCTGTACAATCACAACATAAATCAGCAGGAGACCTTGCACGGGTGGTAATCTAGAGATTTCTTTGGGGAACACTTTCATAACAGATGTAACCTTTTCCCTGGGGCCCACTTTGCAATCAAATCAAATTGTCCTTTATGGGCCCTTCCAGCACAATAAACTATGTGCTAAATGATGGAATTTGAATTTTTACTTCTGAGGAATGTGGATGCACCTAAGTTATAGGTCTAAATAAAATAATTAGTTCCATTAATTACTGTCCCTTGCCTCCACGTGTGTCTGTGTGAGAGAGGGGAACCCTCAAAATTGGGCACTCAGGGTTGGATCTACACTTTAGCTATACATATGGTGGTCCTATTGATGTCAATGGGGCAGGTTAGTCATTACTTTGTCTCATTGATTTCATTAGGTCTACCAGAAGTGTGACTAAGGATTCAGTTGTATACCTATCTCCCTGGAAGTGAGTCATACTGAACTAAGAGGGATGTACTTTTGAGTACACAGATACAGGATTATAATGCCACTTGGGTCCAACTCTTGGGCATTTCTGCTTGCTTGTGGGTATTAACTTTGAGAATGAAATGATATTGGTAAACAATAGCCTGCCTGTCTCACTAAACAAGAATTTGTTACACATTTCTTTCTTCTCATAGTTTGCTAACCATACAACTTCCCTAAAATAATAACAACAATAATATTAATAATGATCCCACTGGCATTCATTACAGTAGTATTTATAGAATGTGCTTCTAAAATCTAGAAGAAAATTTCCAAACTAAAGATAGTAGGAAAATGGGAAGAGATCATTTCATGAAATCAGTTCTCAGTGTGGCACTGTGACATATAAGAGAAAAACTATCATCTTCGATGAGTTACTGGATGGCTGTCATATGAAGCCCCCATGGAAAACTACAGTATGAGCCACAGATGATCCATGATAGAAACCCAGGGAATATAATACAAACAAATGAATCCAAAGAAACTCTATACTTTTCCAAAAGGTGTGAATAACCCTAGATCTTATGATAGTTTTTACACCTTTAATACCTCTCCACCATCACTCACTCAAGGTGTCCTCTCTCCCCTCACCCTTCCATGTTCCCAAGTCTGCTCTGGAAGGTTATTCAACCCCTGCAGCAGATTTGGGGAGCATGCTGGGAGAGGAGAGATCTATTCCACCAGTGGTTTCCATTTAGCTGGCAGGTTGACAAGAATGGATCTATATTACTTGCACTTCAGATCCATTCAAATAAATGGGAGAGGTGCAACCTAGTCTGTATACAGCCCATAGTCTCCAAGTGAGTACCCTGTGTCAAGAACTCGAAAGGCAGAAAGGAAAAGGTTAAGTATTCCCAAATGCTGGTAAGTCGCTTCAAATGTAGTGAACCAAAACTGTTTGCATCTTGCTTTCTCATTATTTTATATCTAGCTGACAGATTTACTCATTAATATGAATTATATATTTACTCCCCTATCCTTAATGCTCAGATAGGTAACACAAGCACAACCCTGCCCCACAGGCACAGACATAAGCCAACTCCTCATACTTGCAAAATTGCATGGTAGGCTCTCTCCATAAATCCTGCCCAGGACTGAGGCAGCAGCAGAGAGCGGTGCCATTCTGAAGGCTGAATGTTTACCTGCATTCCAAACAAAGGGAATTTGTTACATAGGAAAGAAATTAACAAAAATTACCAGAAGTTGTAGTCACCAAGTTGCAAAGATCCACTCAAACTCAAGCAGAAGCATCACTGATGACACAAGAAATTTGGCTTTTGAACTTACCATCTTGTCTTGGAACTTGCAGATTTTTTAGAACTCACGTTCACAGGTTTTATCAGACACAGAGACTATAACTATTGAGTTATGAAAGACTAACCAGTCTTTGGGCCTTGCCAGATGACAAACTGCTTCTGAAACAAAGGCTGCAATGCAATGCATACATACCAGGGCATAAGTCCCATGGAACTCAATGGCCCTTCTGCTGAGCAAATGAGAGGAGGAATGCTCTGTGAGATGGCTTCCTAAAGAAATTTGCATAGCAAAAGATCTGTTCTTCAAAATTAAAAAGTAAAAAAAATTCCTGGGTGTGCACAAGCCCTTGGGTACACATAAATCAACAATCTGGATCCCAAAGTTCACATAACAAATTTAATTGACTTCTTCTAATAAATGGCAAACACCACTTCACACTGAACAGAGCATTTCAGCAATCCTTATTTTTTGGTAGAGCTTAGTTAAAACAGATTTTACATAATTTAAGAGATATATAAGCTCAGAGATGTTTTTTAAAAATTGCCAAAGACCTTTCTAATGTTGTCATTATTACCACAATTCAAAAGAAAACCATTGCTTGGGATTGTTTCTGTTTGCAGTGAAACTTCAAAGCTCTCCATTTAAAAGAAAAGAAGAGAAAAGGAAAAAAAGAAAAAAGAACATTGTAATTAAAATGACTGCTGTGCATTGTTATGTCTCGTAATATTCTATGGCAGGCAAAAGAATTAGGTTTTTTTTTTCCAGTGTCCAATTATTTCTACTGTTGGCCACAACTAAAAACACAGAAAGTTGTCATGACAGCCATTTCAAACCAATCAAAATAAGTTAACTGAGCAGCTTCCAAGACTATATAACATTACATATATCGATACACACACACACACAGAGTTATACTGTTTTGTGTGTGTATGTCCTGAAATGATACCAGCCTGGGTTTTAGCTAGGCTCCCTCAGTTACCTTCTTTAATGCTGATTGTTTTTTTAAAAATTGAGAACATGTCAGAATACTACTAAAATCTACCTTTTCCTCAGGTTTATCTGAAATTTGATCTAAATTAATAACTCCCCATTTAATTAATTAAACATTTCAAAACAGAACACTAAAAATACTAAAATGAATAAAGCCAGGTACCTACTCTTAAAAAAAATTGTGGAAACAGAATAAAAAAGGAACATATTTACCAGAAACTAAGTAGGGATTAAGTTCTGCATTGCCTGCAGAAGTAGTCACCTCCCCCTCGCATGACCCTTTCACTTTCCCACATTTTTTTACAACCTAGAATCAAAATTGATTTAATTGGCATTGATACCACCTGATCTAGAATGTGTAAGACATATATTTTATGGCACAAAAAATAAACAAAGGCTAACTGACACTCGTCAGTTGTGTACGTATTCACCCGCTGAGGCAATACGTGGTAGAAACACCCTTGACTGCAAGCAAGGTTTCTTGGATAAGCTTTTATCAAGTTTTGCACATCTGGATCCTGCAATGTTTTCTCATATTTCCTGGCAAAGTTGCTACAGCTCTGTCAGGTTGGATGAGGACCATTGGTGAACGGCAGCTCTCAAGCTTTGTCGCAGGTTCTCCATCAGACTGAGGCCTGGCCTTGACTGGGCGCTTGGCAACAACTTCACTGGTTTTTTGGCTGTGCATACAGACTCACTGTTCTGCTGCAAGGTGAACCTTAACTGCCCTGCAGGCCCAGGCCCCTTAAGAGACGGAAACAGATCTTCCTGCATTTGGTTCCATCTATCTTGCTCCCAGTCTTGACCAGTTTCCCAGTCCTTGCCAAGGAAAAGCATGTCCAACATGATGCTGACACCACCGTGGCTCACTGTACAGATGGGGTTCTCAGGGCAATAAGCACTGTTGGCCTTGCAGCACACATAGCGTTTTGAAGCTAGGCAAAAGAGGACCAATGCTGGTCCATCAGAACAGAATCAGTTTGCTGTGTCACCCACATGCCTTTCTGCAAAGTCCACGTGGACTTTGAGATGGGTCTCTTTCAGCAATGGCACTCTTCCATTAAGCTGGGCTTTGTGAGACATCTGGGTAACCAACAGCCCCTGGATGGTTTCTCCCATCATAGTTGAAATTCTTTGCAGCTCCTTCAGAGTTACCACTGGTCTCTTGGTTGCTTCTCTAACTAATGCTCTCCTTTCCTGTCCACTGAGTTTTGGTGAACAGCCTTCTCAAGGCACAGCCCTGTTCTTTCCATTTTATAACAGTGGATTTAATATGCTTGAGGAGAAATTCCTTCTTTGGGATATATTTTTTCCTAACCCAATCCTATATTATTTATCACAGAGTTGTTTCGATAGCTCCTAGCTCTTCATTATGCTGTTTGCTTAGATATGCTCTCCAACAAACCCTGAAATGGGCATCTTTAATCTGAGATCTAGTGGCATTGGAATTACATGTGGGTAGACTCCACTCAACTACTTATAGTATTCTGGAGGATGCAAGTTGCACGAGAGATTATTTAGGCATGTTGCAGCAAAGGGGTGCATGCATATGCAAACAAGTGCCAGCTTGTTTTATGTTTAACTTTTATGCCACAATAAGCATAGTTTGCACCTTTACAGTGTTGAGTAACATGTGTACATTCATTCATTCATTCATTCATTCATTCATTTATTTATTTATTTGGAATTTTTGTATTCGCATAAGCCTCGGGATGGCTTCCAACATCATAAATAAAACAAACAGATAAGTACATCAAGTGGTAACAATGCCCATTAAATCAATTTCAATTCCAGGCTGTAACACAACAAAATGTGGAAGAATTGGGGTGGCAGGGAGGTGGATATTTCTGCAAGACACTGTATAACCAGGGTAAAGGCACAAAAAAGTCCCGAGGAATTAGGAGCTGTACATTTTTTTAGAGACCAGTTGGAGTTCCAGGAACACCACTGGCCTATGTGAGGTTTGGGACTTCAAATGATAGTTCTCTACAGTCTGTGGCCCAATTGCAGGAGCAGGCAACATGGTGCCCAGCATGGGGAACTGGGATCATTTCATAAGAAAGAGAGAGGTTCTCACTGCTCCCAGCTTCTTTTGCCATTGATGCCTTGGGCCACACATCGGGTTCAGAGACATTCTTAGAATGTTAAGATGACAAGTGGCTGCAGGATGATGGTTTCATCTGTAATGAGCTTATGTTGCGGCATACCTAAAGCAATCAGCTCCCCTGCCAAATGTGCCCAAAGAGGCTGCATGCCCCTTGGCTATTGGATAATATCCTTGCACTTGTTATGGTGCCCTTTTATGTTTCCATACCCTATGAACAACTTTGCCATTGTTGTTCTGTGGTGTCAAGTCATGTCCATCTTATGGCAACCCTACAAATGAAAGCCCTCCAAAATGTCCCATCTGTGTCTGCCCTGCTCATTTGTGGAGTAATCCGCCTCTGATTTACTCTTCCTTTTCTTCTTCTGCCTTCAGCTTTCCCTGGCATGATGACCTTTTCCAAGGAGTTTTGCCTTCTCATGATGTGCCCAAAGTAAGACAGCCCCAGTTTTGTCATTTTTGCTTCTAGGGAAAACTCTAGCTTGATTTGACCTAGGACTCGATTGCTCATCTGTCAGTCCAGGGTATTTCCAAGGCTCTCCTTCAGCAACATGTCTCAAATGCATCTATTTTCTTCAGGTCAGCTTTCTTCACTGTCTAGCTTTCACACCCATACATAGCAAGCAGGACTACAATAGTGTGGATGATCTATCTTTGCCTTACCAGCATTCAAAATAAACCAGCAACATTATCCTGATGGTCCCTATCATACTTTGATTCAGATAAGCATTTGCTTGAATGATCTTATGTGGATTCAGTTTTTAATGCAGGAGGACTGACTGAAGTACTGTTTGAAGCAATTGCAGAATGCCCATCAATTATAATGAAGTATCTTGTCAAGAACAGGTTGCGTTCATGTTTCTTTACCTATGAAGTTCTCATGCTATAGTTCTATGATTGATTGGCAAAACTACACCATGCCATTAAAAACTCGTGTGATCACACAAAGGCAGACATTTGGTCATGCCTTTCATATATGTTATGAAAACCCTAAGAAATTTGCTATACACTGGCTACATTTGAACATAATACTCCACCACGGTTTAGCATTATAAGTCTCCGTGAACCTTAGGTTTGTCTGTTTCCTCCTCCTCCAGTATGACTTCAAGGAAATCACACTTTCCATTCCCAATTTAAATCAATCACACTTTAGTATGTCATCCAAATCCTAAACTGTCAATAAGCTTTGCTGTGATTAGTTGAAACAAGCCAAGTTCAAAACTATGGTTTGACATTGGCTTGTTTCAACTTACCATAATTAACCACATTTTTCTATGGGTGCATATGATACAGCAAGCTGTGGTTAACCGAAAGCGGAAGCAAAAACTTCCAAACTTCTTGTGCTGACCAGAATGGAAGAGGTGGGAGAAGCAGGCAAACTTGAGACTCACTGTAACTTATACTTGTAATGATAAACTACAGAGTTGTTTTACCAATTGGTAAATAAGGCTATGCCTAACCACAGCTTAATGTGACATCTGAACCATCCCACAAGCAGACAGCAATCGTTTGGTAGGCTAGGTTTCACTAATGTATAAATATTATAGTGGTAGGAAAATCTGCAAAAAAGTCCTGTAAAACTTTGCCACTGCAACCCTAAATGAACTTAGTGAACTGACTTTAATGCAGTTCAGGATTGTGGCTTTCAGGGGTCAGGAGCCCTGGCAGCTCCAATTAAAACACAAGTCAGGAACAACTCTCCCAGACTGTTAACTACCAAAACACTTGAAGATAATTGTTGTCCAATCTAGTCCAGAAAGTACCAGCAAAACATGAAAAGGCTCTTTGGTT